TATATATATATATATACATACATACGTGTCTGATACTCCTAATTTGTATTTTCATGAACGCTTTTATTAAAACCGCAATTCACAATATTAAATAACATTAAGAGCACAATTCTTGTACGTATTTTATCGATAACATAAGAAAGAGAGAGAAAGAGAAAATACATATTAAATTATAAAACGTTTAAAAAGAAATCTACATAATATTATTTACTTTATTATTTATATTCTCGTTTATACGTTTACGCGCTGCCACGTATTAGCTCTAAAATCGTTAGGGTCCAGCCAGACATATAGCAAAACAAGACGTAGCGATAATATGCGAATACGTACTTTCCAGATAAGAGGCGATCAGAGGGGGGTCCTTATCGCGATATTTACGCGCCTGAAATTCGGTCGCAAGTGGGGATGGATAGAATAAACGAAAGAGAGTGGGCAAATCGCGGCTGCGGCCAACATGGCGGGAACTTGCATCACGTGCCAGTCAGCTGTACTTTATGCCCCGAACCCAGATAACCTCTCCAAGTAGTTAAACGAAATCCCCTCTCTTTACTTTCGTCGCAAGTAGAAAAGGCGTGCGTATGAAATCTAAATCCGACAGCACGTCTCATTCCGTGTTCACGAGCATCGATCGTACTCGCATCGTACGTCGTACGACGAATCGAGAAAAGTTATTTGTGTATACCGTGTAAAACAGGAGCACCTGTCGCCAACAGGATTTACTTTCGGCGCGGGTGAATTTAACTTGAGATTCAAACTGTCAGCACACGGAGGAATGCAAAAGGACTGTCGAGATTGTTTGGGTATCCGGTACCGCATTAACACCCTGGACCAGACCTGGAAGTGGTTGCATCAGACTATCGCCCTGCACGACTACCTGATTTCCGTCACCGCGAGCCAAACCAACGTTTCCAAGCGTTTCCATCAATAGAGGTCGTCATATATCGACCGTTAAGCCAAGACTGATTTTACACGTGGCACGAAGTGCAAAACAACTTTAAAAACCTCACGATCTTAGACTAAGATTGATATATAAACAGCAGAAGTTACGTCACGGTGACCTTAACCAGGTAGTCCGCAGTCAATCGACCGTTCGTCAACCAGAGAGTTCCGTTCTTTCATACGCCAAGCAATGTCTCTATCCGTTAGACTGATTCTCGCCAGACGGTGCATGCCCTGTCTCGATGGCATCCGGCGAGTCGTCAGACATGCATCGACTTATACCACGAACGAGGACATCGATCCGATCAAGAAGTCGGTATTCATCTCGCAATCCACGGACGTGTCTGTCAATTTGGCGCTGGAGCACTGGCTGTATCGCAACCTCGACCTCTCTAAACACCACGTACTGCTCCTTTGGAGAAACGATCCGTGCGTAGTGTTCGGTCGTCATCAGAATCCCTGGCTCGAGTGTAACATTCATGTGGCTGAAAAGGAAAACATTGTTTTGATACGACGAAATAGCGGTGGCGGTACCGTTTATCACGACAGAGGCAACCTCAATTTGTCATTCTTCACGCCGAAACAAAGATACGATCGGAAGTATAATCTCAATATCATCAAAACCGCCTTGTTCCGACAATGGGGCTTAAAGAGCGAGATCAACGAACGTGACGATATTATAGTCGACGGAGATTACAAGGTAATAATGTTTAATGTAATTTATTAGAGAATCTTATTCGCATCCGCGAAATATAATTTAAATATTTTTACTAATTATTTAATTAAATGATAATTATATTAAATTTATATATAACACGATCAATAGATGTATAGTCAATAACATTATATAATTAACACGATAACGAAACATTTCAATACGAATGATGTAACGCTCTTTAAATGTATTTATGTGATTCTAAAAATAGATTTTCGTTACAAAATATTGTAATTCGCTCACTCTAAATTTATTTCTGTGATTCTAAAAATAGATCTTGCTTACAAAATATTGTAATTTGTTCACTCTAAATTTATTTGTAAATTGCAAATTGTTTCCGAATGTACGATCTTTTTCTTTTAAGTGAATTTCAGAAATTCATAAAATTAATTTCTCACGTTTATTTTGTTTTAACTACATAATTTTTCGTATTACTATGTGTAGGTATCCGGAACGGCTGCAAAGTTAGGACAATCGAATGCTTATCATCATTGCACGCTTTTAGTTAACGTGAATAAAATCAATCTGAGTTCTGCTCTTGCAAAAAAAGAGGTAAGATTTTCTTTAATATGACCGACACACATGCATATACAGGGTGTCCCACCAAAAGTAGCTATCCTCTTTTATTTTTTAAATTAAAGAAGATAAGACTTGAAATATCGCGGGCGACGTCTATTCATTTTCGGCTCTGCGATATGGCCAACTTCGGCCACAACCCACAACGCAGGGTAAAAAGTGAAAAGGTAGACGTCGCCCACGATATTTCAAATCGATAAAACTCATATAATATGTAAAATATTTACATTACATCATACATTGTTGTATTCGTTTCAAATAGCGCTACAATTTTTATCATATCGAAATATTCACATTATATTATAAAAAAATTATGCATATCTCTCCGTTCGTTAACACAGAGCTTTTGGAAGCAACTATTATGCTCACAATAGAATTCAGTTTGATATATAATTATTATGGTCTATCTCTTTTAGTTTAAAAGATAAAAGGGGGTGGCCACTTTTGGTGGGACACCCTGTATATGCTTTTTAAATATATATGTGTACGTACGTCATGAAAGACACAATTTTGCCAGACAATGATAGCGCGGTGGTATATGAATATCGCGCTATTGTTTTCAAAAGATAATGTGATGTATAAATATGAAAAGAAAAAAAATTAATGAAATAAATAATGTATTTTTTCAGAATGGTATCATTACGAATGCGACGACTTCTACGCGTTCAATAATAAAAAATTTATCCGATATAAATCGAAATATCCAAGTGGATAAACTTATATCCGCTATTGGCTGGGAATATATGCGTACGAAAGCTCTTGTTCTCGAAGACGCGAGATATGATCTTGTTCAGCAACAGAAAGGCTTCCAGTATGTCAACCCAACCGAAGATTGGTTTCCTGGTATGTATCGAAAAAATGACTCTTATTATTCGAAAAATATATCAAATAGAAAATATGATTAATTTTTTTTAACAATTTTAGAAATCTTGCTATTACGATTATTAAAAATAAGATATTTATATCTAAAATTAGCTAATAACAGATTAAAATATTTTTATAAAATGGAATTATATATATACAGGAATTGACAAGATTATCAGCGAGTTTCGTTCCTGGGATTGGAATTTCGGCAAGACGCCGAAGTTTACAGTTATCCGTGAGCTCGATGTTCCCACTCATGATGGTAAAATGCATCGCTTAAATTTAAAATTAGAGATACAGAACGGTATCGTAGAGGAAATCAGAATGACCTTGCCCGCTGGATTAGTATCAGCCGACATTAATCAAGATGCAAGTGCGCATCTTGATCTTCATGTGATTAGCAATCTTCGTGGTACAAGATACAACCATGAAGTAACAGAAAATATAATTACTGAGATTGGTGGCAAGATCGTTACATTAAACACGAGCCAAAGCGTAGATGATAACAATGTAAGGAGATTTGACGAGGCTACGTTACAATGACCCGAAACTTCGGATAACCACACTGTCTAAAGTTTTATTGTGTTCAAAAATAAAAATAATTATACAGGGTGTCGACAAGTAAGTGACCAAACGAAAGGTGGAGGTAGATTAGATCAAACTGAAAAGAAAAGTTCTGTACCATTTTTTTATATAACGCTTAATAAAGGAGTTATTATTGAGTGAAGTCTGGCCCATCAGCGTCGATTTTTAGCCGGACGCACGCACACTACCAGGCGCGCGGCTAAAGATCGGCGCTAATTGGACAGACTTAATCAATAATAACTCCTTTATTAAGCGTTATAAAAAAAATGGTTCAGGACTTTTTTGGTATATACATATATGTATATAAATGTGTGTGTGTGTGTGTATATATATCATACTTTCAATGATGTCAACAGAAAGAATCATACGTATAATGTTTTACATTCTTAATAAATGAACAATGCATTGATATGATAACTGTATATTACTGAATAAAAACTTTTTAAATTTTTTCCTGTGTGTATAAAATACTATATACACATAATACGTAATATGTACATATATAATACAATGTATATAATTTTAAGAACTATATATATATATATATATATAGTTCTTAAAATTATATACATTGTATTATATATGTACATATTACGTATTATGTGTATATAGTATTTTATACACACAGGAAAAAATTTAAAAAGTTTTTATTCAGTAATATACAGTTATCATATCAATGCATTGTTCATTTATTAAGAATGTAAAACATTATACGTATGATTCTTTCTGTTGACATCATTGAAAGTATGATATATATACACACACACACACACACATTTATATACATATATGTATATACCAATCAATTGATTGCATTATTATAATGAGTTAAGCTTATTATATAAACGCAATATATTTTTTAATTGGAACTCTTGTATTAATTCGCCGATTGGCATATAAAAACAATCTAAATTATTATTTATTTATCTTTTTTATTTTTTTATTTCTTTTTTTAGTTCTAATGGAAAGTCTGAAATAACATCTGTTGCATTAACATGTATCAAACTCTTTCTCGAAACTTAAACTCTTCAAACTAATTTTATGTGTGTATTAATCTATTAAATCTATTAAATACATAACTTATAATTTAGAAAAGAATTTATATTTTATCTCACCAAATCATACTTTGCTAAATATTCTTTCGTAAGCAATATGATAGACGAATACTGTCAACATTCTACATTTATGTACCAACGTCGTTTTATAAATCGATAATATTATAACGTTATACTTACAACCTAATTATATCCTGTACTGTTTGTGGCATTATTATTTAAGTTTGTTGTAACGGGTGGATTACGATAAAGCCCCGGTCGCAGCATGACTTCACGATATGGTGGCGGTGGAGTACCAGGACAAGATATCGTATCTTCGTGGAAGACAGAATCTTCAAACTGCCATAAACTTTGCAGTAACGAAATTCTTTGAGCATCGTTGTTTCTTCGCCGGCGATAGCCACGGCAGCAAGATATCTTCCTTGTGAGCCAAATATAGCACGTAAACATGCCACAGGCGCTACCAAGTAAAAATCCAAGTACCAAGAACCAATACGGCGATATAGCATTTAATGTTTTCGTAAAATTCGCCTTGTTTGTCGCATTAACACAAGTAGTCGTATTTTTGTATATGGGTGTAAATTCAGGATACTTCTTTGTCGTTATCATGTTTTTTTTAATGTTTGAATCTAAAGTTATCGAGGGACGATGCTTCTCATGTTTTATCTGTGGCTTGTAAACAATCATTTTCTCAAATTTCTTTGGCTCTAAATTTTTTGTACATATTGGATAATATTGTATATTCCTATGGGCCAAATATATCTGCAGATCTCGCATAAGTTTATTACAAGACCAGGGATTCCTGAAAAAAAAAGAAGCACTGCACATACAGAACATACAAACATATCAATCTCATTGCAATATAATATTTCGTTTCTAAACATTTTTTGAAAAATTACAGGTATAGTAATATATTATATAAAAATAAATTTTATAAAAATTGTGAATATTAGATTTCTCGTCGTCTCACCCCTCTATTGATAACATTCGTAAAAATTGCAATTTGTCCAAGACATTACTGCCCAATTGAATCATCAAGTTATTTGAAAGATCAAGATTACGAAGATGCGAGAGTCCGATAAACGCATCCATCGATATATAGCTAATTTGACAGGAACTCAGAATTAAATCCTATGCAAAAAAAATAAAATTTAAGTTAAATAAAAATATATGTATATCTTTTTTATAGCATTGAATTAGAATATTTTTGTTATTACCGTGAGCCAAGAACACTTCAACTTTGGTACATGAGAGTTGAAATTATTTTTTGACAATCGGAGAATTCGCAAATTCTTTGCTGATATAAAAATATCTGACAAAAGGTAATAAAGATGATTCTGGGATAAATCGAGAACTGTCAATTCAGATAATCCATCGAAAGCGTTTAAGCCAATTTCACTAATTGCATTCGTAGAAAGATTAAGATATTTAAGTTTTAATAATCCTGCATCCTAAAATAAATAAGAAATGTTATGTTATATCTGTATAAACAATCAACGGGCAATATTCGGGAATTAAAGTGTTTATCTGAAAATTTTAACTAAAACTTCGACTCTTTGATACACTTACATATATATCATATATATATATGTATATGTATATAAATTTATTAATTAAAAGTATATTGAAAATTTTATAATTATGTAAAGGTCTAAAAGTATGCGTAAAAATAAAAATTAGAACTGAATTCTAGGATTATAAATAACGAAAATAGATGTCCAGCAGTTTTCTAACGAAAAACCCGGTCTAAATTCGTATCCAAATTCATTAATCTTTAAAAAATATTGTAAATAATTGTATCAGAGAGAGAAAGAGAGAGAGAGAGAGAGAAAGGTATTTTAAGTTATTTTACTAGATTTATCATGTTCTATATTCAATCTTTATTATATCTATATTCAATCGTGATGAATGAGTTCGAGAGGAATAGATGGGTCTTTTGGTAAATACCAGTTGAATATAATGTACGAAAAATACGCTTGTGTGCATATATATACTCACCGCTAGTTCATAATTATTTAAAATAGATATCGAATTATTCGACAAATCCAAAGCTTGCACGGTGCTGGGCGCACCTGTATGAATGCTATAAAGATGGCGTCCAACACAAGAGGCGTATTGCAATCCGTACCAAATATCGCAGTCGCACAACAATGAGCATTTTCCGGATGAATGCACCGAATCACCAATTACAACTACTTGGAAGACGAGAGCAGTAAATAAGGTTCTAATTATTTTACGTGTCATGGCGAGCCGCTCAAATTGTACGGAGAATGTAAAGGCGATAATTTCGACGTATCATCATTGATATCTGACAATTTTGCGCTTGATAGACATCGTTGATGCGTCACGAGGCACGAAACTGCCGTGCACTGGCATAATCTTATCTCGCCAACGTGTACGACAAAGCGATATATGTGTATTGCGACGCGTCATACTGTCATCATTATCCTTTTCTTTACCTTGTATATATGTTTTCTAGGAATTTACAAGAGTTGATCTGCGAAGGGTGCCTGATCCAAGAAAACGGCTGGGCCTGACCCAGGAAAAAGCTGGACAGAACATATTCTATAGGATTTAAAAGGTTTTATGGATTTTACTTTAGACTATAGCCTGACTATAAATGTTCTCTTTAGCAGAGAATTTTCTATACACTTTTAAATATATATCTCTCTCGTCGAACTTTTTAATTACAATTTCTGTAAACTTGATAGAGTACGTTTGATGTGATATATCCTATTATAATATAAGAGAGAGAGCCGTTTTCCTCTAAAAAAATACTTTACCGCAAACCGAAAGAAAGAACCGCGATAAATTTGTCCGGCCCACTGAAAAATATTTTTCTCCGGTTAAGAAATATTCTTCCAGTTTTAACGGAACAGTCAAGTTTTGAAATACAGTAAAGTTTGCCAACTTATCAAATGGAAAATGGCTGAGTTAAAGTTACATTATTATTTCTCTTTTGCCGTTTCAGTATAAATAACTTTGTCAGTAATTTGGAGAAAAAATACAAAGAAAAGGAAAGCTTAATTTTTTTATTCAGCAATTTTTCGGTTACATCTATGTCTTAACTGTAGTTGTTTTTATTATTTGTTAATACAATAACCGATTTGTACGAAAGAAGACACGAGGAAAATATGACCTCTATTTGCAAAATTAATTTTTGTTAAACTTTTGCAATTTTATTTATTGATTTGATAATCGTAACACGATATTCATCAACTTAAGGAATAATGTGTTATATGTCAAAACATTGACAAAAGCATGAAAATTTCGTAGATTGTTCTACTACTTCTGAGTATCTGTGCAAAATCTGAGCACACAGTTCTCTTAACGGTTTGGAAATTATTTAAGTTTAAAGTTAATATTGATTCTTATAGAAAATCACATATTGGAGCACTTATTGATAAATTTGACAAGAAAAAACATTGTCAATGAAATAAAAATTTTCACATATATTAAGAAAATTCTAATAAATATTTGTGTAAAACTTCATTTAGATCCGCTTATTCGTTTAAAAGTTATTTACTAAAAATTGTAGAAAAATATTATCTGTCTCTTTCTCTCTTTCTTTCTGCAACTTATTCGTGTTTTTTTTTCTTGCAGTTAATTTCAGGGGTACTCACGATCAAAAGTTTGTATTATAAATTATGAAAAATATTAATTACAACTATTTTCTTTTACGAAGACGTTAAAAACCATATTATTTTGTGATACTTTAATTCTTTTTATAATTCTGATTTATTTATTTGATTTTTCAAACGGTATAAACGTAAGAAATATGTTTTGTTTTTCAATTTTGATAGTTTTTTGCTACTATTGTACAGCCAAAATATTTTTAATTTGAGAGAAATAGAGAAAGAGACAGAGAAAGATATGTACATATATAGTCTGTATAAGAAACTTTATGAAACAAATTAGTGCTTTCCCAGACAGCACAAGAAGGCCAAAAGATAATTTAAAAATATCTACAGGACAATAAGAGGTCTTCAAATCGTCTTTCAGGCGTTTTTTAGAGACATGTGCTGTTTGGGTTGTTGTGGCCTTCAATTATAGTCTATGATTTTGAAATATTCTTTTTGTATATCTGTACTTTCCACGGCCTGTAGCTAATATTACTCCATGGCTTTCACGATAAAAAATAATTTCGTTTTCTTTTATTTATTTATTTACCAAATCAAACGTAAGAGAAGCTAAAACGCACCACGTTTCCAAAAATATATACATATATAAACAACTTGTGATGTTATCGAATCCGATTTATTGCAGTGATGCGGAATTTAAATGAATCACGCTCGCTAACAATAAGAATCAACAGAGACATATCGGGATAATGGATCGCGACGCGTTAACGGGAACGACGAGAGTCATCGGGGCTTTCGGTAAACGACGCTCATTACCCTTTGGCACGTCTTCCGTACTTATAATGAGGGTCAGCGGTTACCGAGCTAACCAGCGAGGTGCGCATATTGCGCAACGCGTCCACGGAAATAAATCTAGGATAGGCTGCTGGGAACGCGCGCGTGGACCCGTTGCCTTCTATTTCGCCGGTTCGCCTTCTCCTCCTCCGCGTTCCCCTTTCTCCCTATCCTCCCCCTTCCCCCTTCACCCCCATCACCCATCGTAACATCTTCCGGCCATTTTCATCGCGCGTCCTCCGCGACGCCATGGCGATCAACGCCGGGGAAAGCTTCACCTTTGGCGACCAACGCCGGGCGGAGGACGATGATCGATTGACCCGACCAGAGAGGTCACGAATTAACCCGTCATTAATAATCCGTCTTCGTTCTCCGGGACTCTTCGCGCCCGACAGACGCACAACGTTCATCGGGTCGTCTCGATTGAGGAAAAATGCGTTTACTACGCATCGGAGTACGCGCGACGCCGGGAACGACGACGTGCTGTGTCTGTTGCCGTTCTGTTGGTGTCGTCGCACACAGCTGTCGCAGATAGTCCACTCTCTCGCGTTTCGTCACTGGCGCCCTCAGCTGACGCGGCGCGTCCCCTCGGCTCTTTACGTCGCCGGCCTGCGACCTACGACTCGCCGCATACATATGCATATCTCTCTGAGCGTCCACGCGCTTCGATTATCTCGCATTTAACGTGAAACGATGAAAAAGATTATGAGATGTATACGCGCGACAAGCGACGCGTACGATTCGTACGACGTGCACGCACACGCGAAAGGTGAGAGCTTTTGCAAAAATGTCTACCGCTGGCAACGCTTCGGTCTCGAAGCGTTCCCACTCGCCAGACCCTCCACTCGCCGCGTGTCGTCATCGAGCGACTCAGCTGACGCAAAATGGCCGATCGACGCTGACAGCTGAAGCAGAAAGCACGATTTTATCTGCAGGAACGCGACGCGGAGCGCGATCGGCATCGTTTCGTCGCACGATACGCGTATCGTCGATCTCTCGTAGCGGCGCTTCGACGAAATACGACGTATTTCGCGAGAAATACGATACAGTATGGTATCGAGGGATCGATGGGAGCGTCTCGCGAAGCGAGATGCTTTGCCGAGCGGCCGGCCCCGGCCACTCGTATCGTTTCGTCACCGACATTCTCAGCTGACGGCGAAACAACCGCCTGGGCTGTTATTTTCCGTAACAGCTGATCGCCGCTCCGTGACGCGAGTTCGCTAAAAAACTGCGCATACTTTCATCCGTTCGTCGAAATTCGATTCCGAAAATCGATCATGAAGCATCTCGCGTCGAGTATTCGTGCGAGAGATACGCGCATAAAGTCGGCGTCGCTTCGCAGAAACGCCGGGAACGCGCCGAGTACGCACGACGGAGCAGGGCGGTGGAGAGGTGAGGGGAAGGGGTGACCGGTAGCGAGACAGGAGGGGGGGGGGCGGGAAACGGAGTGGAGCGTCTCGTCGAGCAGGCGCTCTTTGCCTAAGCGCTCTAGCCTGCGATTTTTTCCCGTTTCTCTCGTTGTCCGGGCGGAGGGCCAATCGGAGTAAGTAGGTCAGAGCGAGCGGCCAATGGGCGCTCGAGGCCGGGTCACGTGGCTTTGTTGTTATCTATCAGCTGTTTTTCCCGGACGGGCGGGCGGCCGGCCGGCGCAGTGAAAGCCGCTTGGCAGTCTGTCCTCTCAGTCCCTCCCGGTCGCTCAGCTGTGCATCACATGTCGGGTAGCGCGAGTCCTTCTACCGTACGGATCACTGTTAAACGTACGATCGCGACCCGGCTTAGCCGTCGTCTAGTTTCGATTTACCGTCTATCATCGGCGCGCGTCAGCCCCGTATTATTATGCTGTCAGTCAACGTGTCCACGTCAACGCATCGTCACGAATCGATCACGAAGTGCCTCGAATATGCGGACGGCGTGACGAACGCGGGCGACGGTGCACGCCGCTTTGTTGATACGCTGAGTTCTGTGTTCAGGCCGCGGAGGCCACCGCGTCTCTCCAGCGTCTAGAGAGTCCCGCGACTCCCTTTTCCCCTCCCCGCGCAAATTTAAACTGCCACCGCCGCCGGCGGCAGGCATACATCCGTGTGATCCGTGTGCGTGACGAAAAGTTGGACGGTACGATGACCTAAAGCGGGATAGAGGGTGAGAGAGCGAGAGGGAGAGAGAGAGAGAGAGCGATAAAGCGAGCGTTCTCTTGTGAAATTTAAAACGTGGTGGTCGAGTGACATCCTCATCGCTCGCTCGTGACAGCCAGCCGGCGTCCTTTCGGGGGTGCGCGTGTTATCCTCGCACTCCTTGAAACTTCGAACTTTCGCACCGTCCTTGCACGCGTGCTCTCGTATCCGGTGTGACTCTATGGATCCGCGAGTGTGTCGTGCTCCTCGTGTCGGCGTCGCGAACGATCATCCCTTCGAACACTGTTGAACGGAGAGAGTGCTCCGCGTGTTTCGCAAAGTGGACACGGAAGGAACGAACGGTGTATGTACATCACGTCGCGCGTCTATCCAAGTGCCACGCGCAACAGGACACTCCGCGCGAGAGTGAACACGATCGATCCGTCTATCGATTATCGCAACACGCGAGAGAGCAGCGCATATAATACACACGTGACACACAGGCACCCCGACCGAGTGATATCGCGTCATCGGCAGAAGCTGCGAATAATGTCGACGGGCAAGAGGCTGGCGAAGCGCAGCATAATCGGCACCAGGGTGTGCGCTCCCGGCGAGGATGGCAAGTACTACAGCGGCGCCATTTACGCCGTGAAGACGCCGCAGACAGCCTCCGCCGAGTCGCCGCCGGGCCAGAAGAGC